AGGAGCCAGAGGTTGCAGTGAGCTGAGATAGCACCATTGCACTCCAGCCTGGGCAACAAGAGTGAAACTCCATCTCAAAAAAGGCAAAACAAACAAACAAAAAAACAAGTATACCAAGTCATTTGATGTAGCCTAGCACTAACCTCGGCTAGCCAGGTTAGCTTAGGTAAGCCTGCACTAGCCTGAACTCCCAGTTAACTTAATGCTTTGGATACAAACCCCACATTGTCTGTGCCAAAACTCATGAGGATAATCTTAGCTGCCCTAAACCCTTCCCTCCACCGAGAGTCCTGTGAACAATATGAAGGTTCATTGCACTGAATAGTTTACATGTGTTTTTATCACAAGTTATCTTAGGTTACATCTGTTCTCAAGGTTGGCTCATACCTGCCCTGACTGATGACCTCAGTTATGAGACTTAAGAAAAGCAACTTCCTGAGGAAACAGTATTCTTCAGAAGCCTGTTGCAGCCTGATTCAGTAACTAAAGGATTCCCTGCCTTACACCTAGTTTCAACTGATCTTTTAAAAGAAAAAAAAGAAGAAAAGCCCGCTTTAAATGTTTCCAATAATGCATTTCCATTCTAATTATTTTGCAATTTCAAATTTATCACTGTCTGACATTATCCATGCCTATACAAATGACTTAAAAAGAAAAATGGAGCCATAACAGGATATTTAGAACTGCCTGGAAGTTTAAAAAGTATGAATTTTAAATTCTGAGCAAATCAATATTGTTTTCCATATTAAAAATTCATATGGACATGTTAACTATATCTGACTGTAAGTGACTCATTTCGATACCTGGCATATCTAAGGACTAAGGCGAGAGCAATCTGATAAGAGAGAAAAGGTAATATGGATAATGCAATGGAATGGAAAGATCACTGGACTCTGGACCAGCTGTATTCCAAGGTCAGCTCTACCATGGCTTGGCTATATGACCTGACTGTGTGGCCAAGAGCAATTATTAGACTGTTTTCAACAATGACAGAGAATACATATCAACCTATGACCTCACAGAGGTATTAGGAAGACAGTAACATACATGAAATAACTTTTAAGCTGCCATTTCTTCAAAAGGATATATTCCAAATTACCCTAAACTGTTCTTTTTGAAGTGCTAGTCAGTGGTCTATACTGGAAAGTTCCTTTCATTTACTCAGTTGACTCACTGAGGAGCTGCTCTGCACAAGGCTCTATGCTAGGTACTGAGGACTAGAGAAGAAAATGTTAAGGTGTAAACTGGTTGGAGAAACAAAGTACAGCTATGTCCCATGTAACAGTGCTTCGGTCAACGACAGACCACATACATGACGGTGGTCCTATAAACTCATAATAGTGTATTTTTACTGTGCCTTTTCTTATTTATATATGTATACATACACGAATATTTACCATTGTGTTGCAACTGCCTACAGTATTCAGTATAGTAACATGCTGTACAGGTTTGTAGCTTAGGAACAAGAGGCTATTCCACATAGCCTAGGTGTGTAGTAGGCTGTACCATCTAGGTTTGTGTAATTATATTCTGATGTCTGTACAAAGAAATTGCCTAACATATTTCTCAGAATGTATCTCTGTCGGTAAGCATCACATGACTGTGTACATAATGATTTCATTTCTAGATAATAAAATGAGTGGTTCAAACAGTACTATGTATTGATCATTCCAGCTTTCCATCCTCTTGTCCATGAAGAAGTAAACGTACTGTAAACTGATCCTAAGAGACAATGTATAAATCACGTAAACATTTGGTGTCTAACCCCTATTATAATAATTTTTCATTTCTGGCTTTGTGTTACCAGAACTCAGTGAATGAAAAGATGTGGAAAGAAAAGGCTTCCCCAAGAAGGTACCTACGAGGTACACTAAGTACTTCATATAAACTCTCTTTGGAACCAACATGGTGGCTCACGCCTATAATTCCAGCACCTGGGGAGGTCAAGGTGGATGGATCACTTGAGACCAGGAGATCGGGTTTCAGCAACATGGTGAAACCAAAAAACACACAAAATCAGCCAGGCACAGTGATGTGCACCTGTAGTCCCAGAGGTTTGGGGGTCTGAGGCGGGAGGATCACTTGAGCCTGGACGGTTGAGGCTGCAGTGAGCTGAGCTGATGCCACTGCACTCCAGCCTGGGTGACAAAGTGGGACCCTGTCTCACAAAAAATAAAAAACTCTCTGTCAAACCTTACAATAATCCTAAGTATCAACATTCCCATTTTACAGATTGACAGTTCAGAAGGATTAAGTACTATGCCCAGGACAAGTAGTCAAGTTAATATATGAATCCATACCCATTCTGACTAAAAAAAACCTGAGATCTCTTGGCTCTATCATGGATGTGACCAGCATATAAAGAGAGCAGAGAGGAAGGCATTCTGGGTAGAAGGATCAAAATAATGCCCAAGTTTAAAGCTAGAAGATGAGCAAAGTTTTGCAGAAGTGGGGAAAAGGCTCCGGGCAGTTACAAGGAAATAAAATTAGGTGATAGACTATAAAGAGGCTAGAATACACAGATGGCTAAGAAATACAAACTTGATCCTATAGGTCAGTAAGATGGAACTGGAAATTGTAAGCAGGAAAGTAGAGGATAAAACCAGAGCATTAAAAAGATGAAATTCAACAGGGCAGAGATGGGCTGAAAAAAATGCATAGCATAATGCAGAGAGTATCATTTAAAATCCCAAGTAGACTACAGATGGTGGTGTGCATCTGTAGTCCTAGCTCCTCGGGAGGCTGAAGTTGGAGGCTTGCTTGAGACTAGAAGTTCGAGGCTGCAGTGAGCTATGATCAAACCACTATACTCCAGCCTGGGCAACAGAATGAGACCTCATCTCTTTAAAAACCAAATGAAACAAAAGAAAAAAACAAGCACTTCATCATTCCACTAAATCCTTTAGCAATACTTATGTAATAAAATAATCAAACTATCTCTTTTGCATGGATATTTCTTAAAACACATCTCTAGACACATTTTCAAAACGGCTACTATCCCCTACCAGTTCTTACACAGAAACCAATTTCACTTCTAAATACATCCAAAAAAGAGTACTCCTTAGGGCAGGAGCCACATTTTAAAACCTTCAACAGTAGCCTCAGAGCAGGAATGGCCAAAAGGAAGGGAAAAAAAATGGAGATTCTAAGTCATAAATTCCTTGATAAAGTTGCAAAAAAGTTGCATCTTCACATTTACAGAAACACTCAAAACTTAATTTTTTCAGGGGATAAAGAGGACTGACAAATGAGAGAATGACTTTCACATAACACCAGTTTGACTCTATCACCCCAATAATTTAAGAGCTTCCACTTCTCACAAAAATCAATACAAAAACATCATTCTTAGTACTTAAGGGACAAATTTCCTTTCTCTTTAAGTATACAGAGGTCTTTGGTTTGTTTTAAGGTCTGAACTGGTTAAATTTAGTGTCCTGGCAGCTGAAAAACAATCATCATAATTCTGAAGTTCTCCATCCTATTCAATCTTTGCCACAGGAAAATTCAACTGCATCCTGTAACCTAACGCTAAGCTGCATCAAGCCAAGGCACCATATTGCTTAAACACATTTGAGACCTGGTGTAGGATCACATGAAACCCTTCAGTGCCTATCAGATAGACAATAACCTAATTAGCTGGCAGAGCACATGTGACAATGGCCTGGCCAGAAACGTAGTGGAAGACATTTCCTTCAACTCTTTCACCAAGGACAAGGTGAGCACTTTGCCAAGAGGAACTGGGAGAAAATACGGAAAGGTGGAGAGGAAAATGTGGAGGGAAGTGTGCATATGCAGCTACGGTTCCCAATTACATTCATTACAGTAAACAGAAATGGCAAAGGGGGTGGACTGCAGAAAAAGCAATCATCATCTTTCCTGCAACACATACAATTCACACATTCAGAGAGATGGCCTCTCTGAATTTTGCAGGTCTAACTTTCTGCTGAACCTTGCAGTAAGTTATTAGTGAGCTTGAAGTCTGAGGAGCATACGTGCCCAAACCACATTTTGATGTCATTTCCCTGCAAAGGAAATGTGGTATCTATGCCTAAGTGCCAAGATATTTTAGCCTATATAGGGATACACAAGCTTCTTAAAAATGACATTTGTTTCTCCTACCAGATATTCCCAGCCTGTGGCCACCAGATTTTCAAACAGCCTAGGGGTAAAGCATGAAACACGAAGTTGAGTAGAACAAAATTACTCAGACAAGAAGAGTGTAGACGCTAATGGGTAACACTAAGGGAAATAAACACGTGTTGTTCTTTAATCCAAGACAAGCCAAAGTCCTTAAAAACACCGATTTTAGAATTCTTAAACAGAGCCTCTCTCTCAAAGACTCAAGAACTTGGATTTACCAAAAAGTCAATTTGCAGTGCCAAAATTCTCGAGATTAGCCTCCGGCTGTCGACACAGACTCAAGAACCTGCTTTAGGCTGGAGCTGTATAAAATTTAAACCAAAGTAAACTTCTTCAGGTCCTTAAGAGTACTGACTAAATTTTTTCTGCACCCTGAAGACTGGTCAGGCAGGCTTCGGTGGCCCAGATAGGCTGTAACCAAAACAAAAATTTGTTGATTTGTGTGTAGACTCTAAAGTGCTGCTGTAGGTCCGTTAAGTAAGAGAAACTATTATTCTCTGCTAAGTCATACAGATAAATTTAGTCGCTAGCTCTCCATAGAAAGTGGGGGACAAGCCTGCCCGGAAGGGCCGCATCACTACGCCGACCTGGGCTCGTTGTGGGCCAGTCTGCAGCTTCTCTCTCCAGCCGTGGGCGCTGGGGCCGAGCATGGTGGAGAAAAGCCGGCGAGCCCCTGATTCCCGGCCCATGGCTGCTCGGGTGAGGCCTAGGAGAGGCCGCGCCGGACGAGGAAGACCGGTAAGTGCGAGGAGCTCCCACACCCTATCTGCCGCCCGGGACTCAGGAGCCCTCCCCGAGACCGGAGCCCACACCTGCCGCCCCGCCCGCCACCCCTCAGGACTCCGGCCCGCGGGACTCACAGCTTCAGCTGCTCGTAGGCCGCCGCCGCCATCCTGCACAACCACCTCCTTCCTTCGCTCTCCGCCCGCCCCGCCCCGCGCCGCCACCTCGGCTGCAGCGCTACCGGTCACCCTGGCACGGCGGCCGCAGCGACCAGCCTCGTCCCACCCCTTTCCCCGCCTAGCAGAGAGCCGGCCTGAACGGGTGGCAGTGGAGGACAAACTAGTGCGCGAGCTAGAGCACGCGAGAGAGGCAGCGTCGGATCGAAGTGCGACGAAAAGCGCCGTGACGTACCCGCTGCGGATTGGCGGAGCGGGTTGGGGGGAAAGGCGGAGCTGCGGGAGCTGTGGCGCTGGGGTAAAATGGATTGCCGGTGCCCGGAAGCCTGTTCAAACTGCGTAGGGAGTGATCAGCCATCACGGAGGAAACCCAGCTAGCTCGGGGCCAGTGGCGCAATGGATAACGCGTCTGACTACGGATCAGAAGATTCTAGGTTCGACTCCTGGCTGGCTCGCGACGCTCATTTTGCTACACTGGGCCTATGTATTACAAGACTTTGGAAAGGTGCATAGTTAGAACATGAAAGTTAAATGTCTCAAATTTGGATTCCACTCTGCTCATAATGTCATCCATTACATTATGTTAGGAACCTGGAGTTGTCAGAGGTGATTTGCAAACTGCAGAGCGCCCTGTTCTTAAATGATGCACCTGAGAAGTCTGTAAATGGGGTATATTTAGATAAACCCACCTGGGAAAGTGGCAGTTTGGAGTGGGGAACAATGTGGCCGGAGGTTAGTACCGGATGACGCAAAAGCGCATTGAAGGCAGCAGTTCTGTCCTTTCTCCGCCATGGAGTAGAAACCCCCATAGTGATGTGAGAAGCGGCGCTGTCCCAGTTTACCAGGATGGTGTGGGCTTTGGATCTCACCAGCAGCGAAGAAAACCTGCGCTGTGCGCGGAAGTTGTGGGTGTGGGGGGACGGGGTCCGCAAAGCGTCAAAATCTGCCGCAGCCCTGGCCTTTATGAGCTCCAGCTCCGAAGTCAATCCGGCCCCCAAATTCCATTGGGAAACCCTCAGACACGGGTGTTTTTGCAGTAAGAAAACCTCAGGTAATCTAGTATATTACCCCTCATTGTACAGATGTGCGACTTGGACACCCGAGAAGGCGCAAGACGTCTGCGGCCTAAAGGGGACTCGAACCCAAAGATTATGAGTTATCGTACGCTGTCCATTAACCAGTCACTCAATCGATCAATTAATTTCCCCAACATAAGGTTTTCCCCTGATAAAATTATAGAGTTTAAAAATATAGAAATTATCGAGAATAAAAATAATGCTACCCCCACCCCAATATGATTACTATTAATTTTTTTCTTTAAAGCTTTTTTTTTTTCTTCTATACTTTTTAACATGGGTATACCTGCACATGTGTTTTTCCAAATTGGGGTTGTATAGAAATGGGCTTCTCATTTTGTCCCCTTACCTTTTTGTCTGAGATTTAAGGTCATTAAATATTATTTGAAGATATTCCATCAGAGAGCTAGATATTTTAAGCATAACCCTTATGCTAGGAATTTGGGTTGTTGCCAGTTTAACACTTAGAAAAAATGATGCTGCCTAGGAGCTCAAGACCAGCCTGGGCAACATAGTGAGACCTCGTCTCTACTAAACAAATAAATAAATAAATTTTAATTAACCAGGCATGGTGGTGTGCACCTATAGTCCTCACTACTCAGGAGGCTGAGGTGTGAGGATCACTTCAGCCCAAGAGGTCGAGGCTGCAGTGAGCTGTGATCATGCCACTGCACTCCAGCCTGAGCAACATAATGAGACCCTATGTTGAATTATTTCTATGTCTTACAAATTGCTAGAGGTGGAACGACCAGGTGGACATCTGTAAAGTACAGTTTATGGACATTTTTAAGAATTTTGTTACTTTCAAACTGCCCTCCAAAAAAAATTAAACCTAAACACACTTCCATCAACAGCATCTGTTTCTCTGTTTCTGTGCATGCTAACCAACACTGTATATTATAAATTTAATCATAACTTATTTGCAATTTTCATAATTGAAATATGGAACTTCCTTTTACAAGTACTTCTTAATATATGTTTTCTCTTGATGTATTGAATTTTTTCTTACAAATTTGATTTTTTTAATATATTAAGGATATTAACTATTGAATACATTGCAGTCTTTTTTCCAGCTTATCATTTACCTTTTCTTTTTTTATAATTTTTTTCTTTTTTTTTTAATAAAGACGGGTTTTCACCATGTTGGTCAGGCTGGTCTTGAACTCCCGACCTCAGGTGATCCACCCGCCTTAGCCTCCAAAGTGCTTGGATTACCGGCGTGAGCCACCACGCCCGGCCTCATTTACCTTTTCAATTTTTGTTTTTTTTGAGACATAGTCTCTCTTGGTAGCCAGGCTGCAGTGCAGTGGGGCGATCTCAGCTCACTGCAACCTCTGCCTCCCGGGTTCAAGCAGTTCTGTTGCCTCAGCCTCCCGAGTAGCTGGGATTACAGGTGTGCACCACCAAACCCAGCTAATTTTTGTATTTTTAGTAGAGACGGGGTTTCACCATGCTGGCAGGATGGTCTCCGTCTCCTGACTTCATGATCTGCCCGCCTTGACCTTGCAAAGCGCTGGGATTACAGGTATTTTCCAGACCTGGTAGTGAATGCCTGTAGCCCCAGCTATTTAAGAGGCTGAGGCAGGAGAACTGCTTGAACCTGGAAGCTGCAGGCTGAAGTTGGCTGAGATCGCATCACTGCGCTCCAGCCTTGCCTTGTAGTAATTTTCACTTTTACATATTCAAATTTACTATTATTTGGTTTCCTCTATTACATTTTTTAATGTTTTGTGCTTAAGTTGTTTTTGCCGTTTACTTTAATCTGTTATTTATTTTGTTGTCACCATGATGTAAAGATCAATTAATCTTAAGACCTGACACACTTTATTGAGCAATTACTTCATGCCAGGAACTGCTCTAATGCCTTTACTTGGATGAATTCAGTCATTCCTTACAACAATCCCGTGAGGTAAATTCAGTTGTTCTCCTCATTTTTACAGATGAGGGAACTACATTGGCTTTAGGTCATTGAGCAATTGAGTAATGAAGCCTGAGACAGAACCTGAGTCTGGGCTCTTGACCCTATGGCTGTCCTGCCCCTTGGGCTCCCTTTACCCCAGAAGACACCACATGGTGAGTTCAAGGACAATTCCCTGTCTGGGCATGGATGGCAGTCCCTTATACTACTTACCCCTCACCCCTGCTAATCAGCAACAACAAGACCCCATTTCTTGTCCTGATGATGCTTTTACTCACCAGCTCTGGGCTCTTGGTCATTTCCTCTCCTTTAATAAAACAACTGTTTAACTTGCAGCTGGTCTTGTAGGCTTTAGAAAAAAAAAATGCTTCCTTCTGAGCAGCTACCACCCATCGTCATGTAAAAAGAACTAAGAGAGGCAAAGTTTGACATTTCTTCACCAATTGGGAACCATAAACCAAGGCCTTTGTGACGTTCAAAGAGACTGAAAACCAGAAAATAATCTGGCAGAAACAAGTGTTCTTCTGGGGTTTTTAAAGGCCAAACAGGCCGGGCGCGGTGGCTCACGCCTGTAATCCCAGCACTTTGGGAGGCTGAGGTGGGTGGATCACAAGGTCAAAAGATTGGGACCATCCTGGTCAACAAGGTGAAACCCCATCTCTACTAAAAATACAAAAATTAGCTGGGCATGGTGGTGCGTGCCAGTAGTCCCAGCTACTCAGGAAGCTGAGGCAAGAGAATTGCTTGAACCCAGGAGGTGGAGGTTGCAGTGAGCCAAGATCGTGCCATTGCACTCCAGCCTGGGTAACAAGAGCAAAACTCCATCTCAAAAAAAAAAATCATAAAGGCCAAACAAGCCAAAATCAGATTCTAAGGAAACCAATGTTCAGGATAAGGAACCAGCCAATGATGGGTAATATAAATTCATATCTTTAGCCAAGTTCTTCCTATAGTAAAATTGTCACATAAATATAATTTTTTACAAAGTCTACCAGAGGCCTTCCCATGGTGGGAGCCCAAGCTGCAGATGAAGCTTGTTGGCAGATGACGCCTTCCCATGGCGGGAGCCCAAGCTGCAGATGAAGCTTGTTGGCACATCTATATGATCTCTACAACCTCCTTTTAGGGCCAGCTTCCACTCATAGACCTTTTAATATGAAGAGATTAGGCATATGGTGAGGGTACAGTTCTTGGTAAGGCTTTTCTTGTAATAAAAAACAGCCCCCAAACCATTTTTTTCTAACAGAATGCAGCCTGAAAAGTCAAGCTGCAAGCATAAATAAGCAAGCTAGAAGCTTGCATACATAAATGCCAGCGGCTGCACCTGGAAGCCAGGTGCATCCAATAGGGAAGATTTCTCCTCCCTTCTTTTTTTTTTTTTTTTTTTTTTTATTGAGACGGAGCTTCGCTTGTTACCCAGGCTGGAGTGCAATGGCAGGATCTCGGCTCACCGCAACCTCCACCTCCTGGGTTCAGGCAATTCTCCTGCCTCAGCCTCCTGAGTAGCTGGGATTACAGGCACGCGCCACCATGCCCAGCTAATTTTTTGTATTTTTAGTAGAGACGGGGTTTCACCATGTTGACCAGGATGGTCTCGATCTCTTGACCTCGTGATCTACCAGCCTCGGCCTCCCAAAGTGCTGAGTCACCACGCCTGGCCTTCTCCTCACTTCTGTTTGTTGCCAGGTGTGCAGGTGTCATGGCACCAGTCAGGTGAAAAACCCCATCTGCATAATAAAAGATTAAGGTGGCCGGCCAGTTTCTTTGAGAGCTATGTAAGTGGAACACCTGGTCAAACCAATCCTCCGGGCCCTATGTAAATCAAACACCACCTCCTCAAACCCAGACTGCTTCCTGTTGGGAATGGGGAGATCCATTTGGAGCCTTCCTCCCTCTGCATGGAGGAGCTGTTCTCTTTCCTTTCTATTAAACTTTCTGCTCCTTAACCCACCCATATATCTGTGTCCTCAATCTTCTTGGCATGAAACAAACCTCGAGTATTTCCCCAAGACGGGGGCGATCCACTTTGATCCATTTTGTCTGTCATGGGGTCTGGCTTCCCGCCGAGTTTTCAAATTGGGTGTCCCCTCACTTTCACTCCAACACAGG